AATAAGGCAATACTCTAATAGTTGGCCCATTTGTTTCATTCCTAAGACAAACCTTGATCGATTAACCTTAGCTAAAAATCCTGTGGGCTAAACTGTTCTGGTCGTGACTCACTCAGTTACCTTTTATGACAAGCACACCCATTTTGTTTTGGGGGTTAAATGCTACCATCTGGCCTTTCTCTTCAGGGTCCTTTTGTTGCCACTGAAATCAGTGAGCCCAAATGGCTTCATCTCGTATGACTGGGCCTATTCTGCAGTGAACAGCAGACTCAGAGCTCTTCAAATAGGCAGGTGCTTTCCTTAGTGACTTACTCCCTACCTGCCCTAGTGAAGGGGGTTTCTGGGCCTCCCGGGAGAGAGTGGAGTTGGTTTTAGAGATGGGGAGCATGATCTCAAGATATACATAAAAAATAAATTATTAAACATAAAATGAAAGTCAGGTGGTTAAGGATAGAGATTAATCCAATAGAAATAACTTCTGAGGAAGAGAATTGTGTAAATTATGAAAAAAGCAGCAGTGCCAATGAATATAAAAGTCATAATACTACACTTCAGTGTGTGTGACAGTCTCCACAACAGAGAAGCCTAGAACTCCTTCTTACTGCTATTGTCTAATCATTATTTACTGAGCGCTAGCTATGCCCGTGGCATTTTTATGCTGCACTTAAACTTTACAAGTGCTTTTTAGGAGAGTTGTATCTTTTTTTTTTCACCTATGAAAGGCTTACAAAAGTTGAAAAATAAACTCAACTAAAATCATAGGAGTTAATAACAAATATTTGAACATAAATCTGCTTAATTCCATATACTAACGTGTGATTGTGGAATGTAAGAGACAGTTATTTTAATATGTAATTAACCCTTCATACCAATGGAATCTGCATCTGTGAATTCAACCAGTATATTTAGAAAAAGAAAGCAGGAGCGCAAAATGCATAGCTCAGCGGTAGAGTACTTGACTAGTATGTATGAGACCCTAGGTTCCATCCTTACCATGGCAAATAGTGTGTGTATGTATAGCATAGCTCCCACCCTGATTTTGTTCCTAGGAAAAATTGCATCTATACTGAACGTGTTCTTATGCTTTTTCATCTCTTCTCTAAACAATGCACTTCCACAACTGTTTATATTATATTAATATTATAAGTCAGGGCTTAAATTTTTTCCGTTCATGACACCTTTTTACCCCCACAATTTTTACTTGACTTAGAGTATCTAAAATTGGATTATAGATCACATATTTACTGGTAAAAATAATAATTGTACTTTGTTTCATTTCACCATTTATTAAGGATAAATACAAATTTGCATACTAGTGAGGTGGATGTGCTTATTTACTTTTATATAACTAATTGAATCTTTGCTGATTCTTTGATATTGTAGGAAACAATAGGAAAATTTTTTAGAGCTGATCAATAGTTTATAATTGTCTTTAATGGCAATTTATAATGACTTTATAATTGTCATAATGAGAATGCTTGTTTCTCATTAAATGTGTAATAAAAATGGCAGCAGTTTTTATAAGGCTCATTTCAGAAATTGTTAGAATTTTTTTTTAACCTCAAACCAAAATTATTTGATGATATTTCAAAATTATGAAATCTGCCAACTTGGTCTACAGAACAAGCTCCAGGAAGCCAGAACTGCACACAGAGACCCTATTTAATAAACAAATATTTTCTCTCTTTCTCTCAAAAAAAAAAGAAAAGGAAAACAAAAAAACAAACAAACAAAAAAGCCAGTAAGACAAAAATAACAAAACCAGGAGAAAACCCGGAATCTGTCCTGTGTTGGCCAACTGCTTCTTTCTGTGCATGGGGCTTGACCTAGTGACACTGCCTGGAAGAAAGCTCATCTCCCCTTTCCCAGCAAGCATCAATTGAAATAGCTTCTTGGTTGGGGGTGGGCTTTGTATAAGTTTCTTCTTCAATTTGTAGAGTATCATAGTTTTTTTTTTATAATCAAAGATTTTTGAAACTGTCTCCAGACATTTCAGATAATCAGTTAAAACTCTTATATCTAAGTCTTTGAGAAAGTTATTTTTGGTTAAACATTTTAAGATATTTACTGTAAATGCTTCTAAAAAATGAATTTTAACCCTAATCTTCCATTTGTTAACTATTTAGTTAAAATTCCAATGAAGGGTTTAAAAATGAACTACTATTTGAGGCACAGCTTTTAATGAAGTTACTGATTTTTCTGATATCATAAAACATATCATCTCATTGGTGCTCTGATGGGGGCTATGAGTGCCTGTAGGCCCATATTTCTATATGGTGTGGTAGCCAGGCACTAAAGCCATAGGCCCAATCTGAGGTGGTCACGTAGCCCTGCAGACAGGCTGTCTCTGTCTAACAAAGGGTCATGATGTTGTTGCTCCTTTTTTTTTGTAATTTGGAGGATGCCTTATAGAGATGCTGATTCAAGCCTCCGTGACAGCTAGCATACACAGCAGGCAGGTAGATGCGGACCTGACAAAACTCCATTCACCTGGTGACCTAGAGGACAGGTCTAGTGTATTTTTCCCGCTCAGTTTATGTGTTGGTATAAAAGTTGTTTGGATGATAAACATGGGGAAGTCTTGAGGAGAGAAGAAGCCTGAGCTGCCCTTCCGTGATGACCGTGTAAGCTGTGTCTGATTATTCCTTGCAGCTCCGTACCAGTCCAGTTAGGGAAAATAGTTATCTATGTTGGGGCCAACGGGCTCTAACAAGTGCCTCCTGTGAAACACCGAGTAAAAGTGATATGTTTGCCACCAGTTTTTTTTTTTCTTTTTTGCTACAAATTCAACTTCTCTCACACAGTGTTGCTCCCGCACCATCTAGACACTATTACCATATTTTCACTGGAGAAAGCTCCATTTGTGAGGAGTTTAGCTCTCTGGTGACACTCCCCCTTCCTGATGGGTGGTGAAAGAATAATCTCTCACACATACTTCCTTCATAAACCTACTTACATAAAGAAATAAATGTTTCATCTAGCTGAATTGCAAACTTTGGGCTGTTTATATGCTTATAGTAAACTGCTTTCATTAGTCATACAAATTATAGAAGTTCGTTTAGAAACAGCTTGATTTGATAAAGGAATTTTATTAATTTCATACCTATCCTTTTTTTCCCCTGTGAATTACTCTGCCACCCCTACCCCACAAGAGGGTTTTTCTGTGTAGCCTGGCTGTCCTGGAACTCCTTCTGTAGACCAGGCTTGACCTCAGACTCATAGAGATCCACCTGCCTCTGCCTCCGGAGTGCTAGGATTAAAGGCGTGAGCCACCACTGTCGAGCTAAAACTATTCATTTTTAATAACAGCAGGTAACACAAGATCTCCTTTCATGTAATACTTTTTAGGTTTTGGAATTAAATAAGAAGTTTCAAACAAGGAAACACTTTTTTAATTTACAACAAATCTTTTAAAACATTATTTTTGTTTATTTGAAAATTTGTTAAAAGTATTCAAATAATGCTGCTATAAACATAGTTTAGCACTTCCTTGTGGTATGACTGAGCATCCTTTGGGATTGTGGAACCAGTCCTTAGTGTACTGAGGTACAACTATATATGAATAACAGAAACACATGTATTCACTAACAGTCTAGTTTTTAACCCATATCTTATTAGTTTTAGTCTGTTTGAGTACCTGCTTTAGAGAAATGTTGAGGTACAATGGGAAATACGGCAATCAGAGCTTTGATTCTACTTCTGTTTGTGTATGAAGTTGTAAACACAGGAACATTTCTTTAAACATTTTGTAAAATTACATTTATTTAGTGTTTGCTTGTATGCTTCAGTGTGTTTGTGGAGGCCAGATTACAATTTGGGGGACTTGGTTCTTTCTTCCCACAATGTGGGTCTTAGGGATTGGACACAGGCTGTCAGACTTTTGCAGCAAGTCCCTCTGGCCCTTTTGCTGGGCCTTCAGAAATATATCTTATATAGAGCTCTTTTAAAATAAGATACATAAAAGAAAACTTATTTTAATTTATTTATTTAGATACTGGGGTTAAATCCTAGGGCTTCATGCATGCAGGGAAGCACTTTAATAACTGGACTATATCCCTATCCCCAATGTTTACTATTTTATAATATGTAATTTTAAGTATAGTCACGATATTGTACAATCATCACTATCTAATTCCAGAACATTCTTGTCATTCCTCAAAGGCATACAGCTTCTTATTCCTGCTAGCAGTCACTCTACCTTCTCTTTCCCTGGCTACTGCCAGCTGCTAATTCCCTATTTTGGACAGTTCATCTAAGTGGAGTCATATCATACTTGGGGGTGGGGTTGTCTGCCTTATCTCACTTAACATACCTTTAAGGCTTATCCACGTTGTAGCATAAATTGATACTTACTCTTCTGTGTGGTTGATACTCCATTTTGTATATGTTTGTATATCCACACACTACCTTTTGTTTATCCACTCATTACTTGATAGATATTTGGCTGGTATAAGAACTTGTTTATATTGTATGCAAGGTTTTCTGTGGATGCCTTATGTTCAGTTCTCTTACATATATACCTAGCATGGGTGTTGCTGATCATACGGTAAATTCTGTGTTTGTTTTCCAAATTCATAATATTTGTACTGTTTTATGTTTTCACTCTTAGTGACTGCACATTTCTTTAATCTATGAAAATAGGTGCAGTAACAGTTTTGCAGGGAGTAAAGTATGAGGTAGAATGTACAGATGTTGTGCCAAAATGTTTTCTCCCATCTGGTTCTACACATCATGTGTAATATTTTTCCTAGAAATTCTAGGGAAGAAAATTAGTATAATCAAAAAAATTAGAATTCAGTAAAAACAAAAACAATTCAAAATTGAGACCACTTGTCACTTCTTTTTTTTATATAAGATTAGAAGATGAGTATATTTTATTTTATTTTAAATTTTTAAAAAGCTTTTATATGTTTGGGTGTTTTGTTCACATGTATATCTTTTTTTAATTTTTTTTCACATGTATATCTTTAACCTGATTGGACAATGCCCTTTCCTTACAGAGAAGCTGGCAGAGGCTCAGCGCAGGTTTGCTACACTTCAGAATGAGCTTCAGTCTTCACTGGATGCACAGAAAGAAAGCATTGGGGTCACTACATTGCGACAACGCAGAAAGCCAGTCTTCCATCTGTCCCATGAGGAGCGTGTCCAACATAGGAATATTAAAGACCTTAAGCTGGCCTTCAGCGAGTTCTACCTCAGCCTCATTCTGCTGCAGAACTATCAGGTGCTTAGATTACCCTAGGGAGTGGCATTTTAAAGTAAACTCCAGTAAGTGGAATTACCTTGATCTACACAGAGTCCCCCAAAGGTGACATCGTCTTTATTCTTGGGGTTCTTGTTCGAGTTTAGATGTCTTTGTTGTCCAAAAACCATGCATTAGAAGGATTAAAACTATTAGCAAAGTTAATAGTTTTTAAGATACACACACACACACTTTCGTAGGGCGGAGGAGATGGCAGTGCGAGCACCAGAGTTCAAGTTCCCAGAGCCCACATTAAAGCCAGGCAGGCATGGCAGCCACCTGTAATTTACACATACAGGAAGGAGACGGGAATTCCCAGAGAATATGGCTAGCCAGACTAGCAGAAGTGGAGAGCTCTTGACTCAGCAAGACAGCCTGCCTCAGTAATATAAAGAGGGGATAGCAAGTGAGAAAAATACCACCAACTTCAAGTCTCCACACACATATACACTTAGTTAAAAAAACAATTCATATGCTATTTATGGGTACCTTTGGCTCAGAGAACAGCAGTTTGCCTACTATTTGAAGGAAGCTCTTATAGTGGTGAATAAAAATAAATGTCTATCAAAATGTTGGCTGTGTAGTCTTTATATTCCTAATGCATAGCTAACGTTCAGAAAAGCATTGGATCTTTCTGAGGCAGACATTAAGAAAAGAAAAGCAACTGCACAGCTAACATTTTTGCAAGTTTGCGATAATAAAACAAAAGAGCTGAATATTTTAGCTTGCTACCAAAAGAATCCCAGTTTTGTAAGCAAAGACTGTTCTTTTCGTTTCCCGCCCGCCCTGACCCAAATAATCACACAAAAACTATATTAATTACAACATTATTTGGCCTATTAGCTCAGGCTTCTTACTGACTAACTCTTATATTTTAAATTAGCCTATTTCTATTAATCTGTGTATCACCACAAGGCTATGGCTTACTGGGTAAGGTTCTGTTCTGGCATCTTTCTCCTTCTGCAGCTACATGGCATCTCTTAGACTCCACCTACTCTCTTTATATCTCCTCCAGCCAGGCTATATTCTGCCCTGCTATAGGCCGAAGCAGCTTCTTTTTATTAACCAATGGTAATAAAATATATTTATAGCATACAGAACGGAATCCCACATCACAATTTTATTATTCACAGAATACAGTATAACTATATCAAAAATAAAGAACTTAGATCATGCTAGATATGTGTAAAGGTTAAATATATAGGCTGTTATAGCACTCAATAGTTTTTACACCCAGTATGAAAAATGTGAACATCCATTAGCCTTATATTAGGGTATTCATTTATTTGTAATTTGTTATAAGTTTGTTTATATAATTGTTATGAAAGATAATAAACAGGTTATGTTCAATAATAAACATTTACATCTCTGAGTCTGATGTACTACTTTGCATTTTATTCTCTAATATAACTTAAAATGAATGATTAGCACCTTGCAGGATGATAGAACATCTAAAAAGTAAAAGTTATGCAAGAAAAGTTTTACCTGTAGTGACTGGTGATACAGCTCAGTTTGTAGAGTGCTTGCCAGCAGGCATGAAAACCTGGGTTGGATCTGCATAAAACTGGGTGTGGAGGCATATGCCTCTAATTCTGGCTGCTAGGCAAATGGAGACAAAGGAATCTAAAGTTCAAGATCATCCTCATGTACACGAAGTTGAAAGCAGCTTGTGTAAACTTTAAGACTCTGTCTCAAAATGATAAATAAAAAGGTTTTCCCTGAAGTGTTGCAATTTTAAAATGCAAAGTACTAGAAATCCCCTATCTACAATGATCTCAATTATTACTATGTATGCTTTTCCTATCGCTTTCATATTTTTTGATAATTTAGTAGTTTGTCATTCAAAGAAGAACCCAGTTGAGAAATAATTCAGCAGAAAAGTAATAACATAAGAGAAATAAATGATAAGTCCTTTGTTTCTTTTATATACCCCAGGCTGATTTAAACTTGACATCCTCCTACCTTAGCCTCCTAAGTGCCAGAATCATTATCTACATACCTAGGACCCTTTTTTGACATTTTCCCCAAAGCTTTATAATTTGATTTTTTTTTAGAAATTCATATTAGTAACTAAATATTTAAAAGAAACAAAATGCTTTCCCACAGATTTTAAAGTATTAACCTTGTGAGTTGGAGAAAGAATTCAATTGTTAAGAGCACTTGCTGCTCTTCTAGGGAACCTGAGTTTATTTCCCAGTAGCCCTGGCACTATGCTCACAACTGTCGGTTGTTGTTGTCCTCTTCTGGCCTCCATGGGCACCTGTACGTGTGTGATATTTACACAGACATATATACAAAAAATAAAAATAAATCTTAAAAAAGTAATAGAAAATATCCATATTTCCAGCTTATTTTGTGTTGTTAAAAAAAACAAAACAAAACAAAAAAAAAAAAACAAGAACAAAAATGCTGCTTTAGATGCCCTGGAACTGGAGTTACAGACAGTTGTAAACTAGGAATCCAACCTAGGTTCCAGGTCTTCTGCAAAAACAAGGCTCTTAACTGCTCAGCCATCTCTCCAGCCTCAATAGTGTTTCTAAAAGTTCTGTTGTGGAGCTGCAAGGATGACCTGACTTCCGATTCCTAGCATTCAAGTAAAAGGGCCAGTTTTGACTACTCTGGCCTATAATCCCAGGACTGGGGAGGAAGGCAAGAGGATATCTAGGGTCAGTCGTGCCAAATTTGGTGAGCTCCAGGTGAAAGACCCTGTCTGAAGAAAGTAAGAAAGGGTGGAGAGCTATAGAATATTATGCTCAAGGTCACCTCTGCATCCACACACTTGTATGAACACACACTCACACCTGTTTCTAAGTTGAGCTGTCTACTGTACCCAAGAAGAGTTCATGATCATCCATTATGGTATAAGGAATAGATTCCAACAAATGAGCAAGAAACCTTATCAGCAAATACAAACGACCTCCGGTTGGTAGATCTCATCTAGACTTGCAAATCTGTGTTTTCCTGCCTTTCAGATGATGGGCAAACAAATGAAGGTGAGAGTGTAGGAAAATACAGTATTTTGATTTTATAGAAATTGAAGGAATGCCAAGCTTCTACCCATTGTCACCTGCCCTGTGCAATGGTTCTTTTCTGCTGACATCTCCTGCTTACTTCCATCCCTAAATGGAGGAGGATGAAAGGAAAAACAGAGTCAAGAGAACTAGAGAAGTGTCCGTTGTACATGCCTGGAGGAGTGAAAACACACTCTTCACCACCCTTCAAAGAGCAGAGAGTTAAAGCAGATGGGTTCAATGCATGATAAATGCAAAAAACATTTTCTGAAAATACTCTTTTGGCCAAAGCAGGAAAACAACCTATTTTAAAATGGTTATATGTGGAAAGTTGGAAATGAAAATGTTCTGAGCTTAGGATTTTCATTAATTTACTTGGAAGAAAAATAACTGAGTTGTGTTTCCAGTAGGATTCTACCAGGAGCCGTATCCTGGTAGCAGTGAATGCTTCTAGGCGGTGCTGCTATTCCCCAGGGTTCTCAGTATTGACTCAGTCAACTCTGTTGATGTCTGCTGCTTCATTATTTTAATGTTCTCTAATGATCGTAGAATGATAATTGCATTTATCTTTTCTTCCTATAGAATCTGAATTTTACAGGGTTTCGAAAAATCCTTAAAAAGCACGACAAGATTCTGGAAACATCTCGTGGGGCAGATTGGCGAGTGGCTCATGTAGAGGTGGCCCCATTTTATACATGCAAGAAAATCAACCAGCTTATTTCTGAGACTGAGGTACAACACCTCTGCTTGCTTGCCATATATGTTCAGTATCATTTGTATGTATTTTAAAGAAATAATTCACTATTTTTGTTCTTTTATAAATTGCTGGTTTAGAATACCTGTGCTCTTATTGAGGTCTGTTTCTTTTTGCTTTATCAGTATATTTATCAAGAGGCTATCAGAACATTATACACATGTGTATTTATATGTATTGCTTTTATTTAGAATAATTTATATCAAAACTTGACAATTCATCTTTCTAGGCTGTAGTAACCAATGAACTTGAAGATGGTGACAGACAAAAGGCTATGAAGCGATTGCGTGTCCCTCCTTTGGGAGCGGCTCAGGTTAGTATCAACTTCTAGTGGCTTCTTTCCTTTCCTTTCCTTTTTTTTTTTATTTTTGTTTGTTTGTTTGTTTTTCAAGACAGAAAGACAGAGTTTCTCTGTGTAGCTTTGGAGCCTGTCCTGGAACTAGCTCTTGTAGACCAAGCTAGCCTCGAACTCACGGAGATCTCCCTGCCTCTGCCTCTCAAGTGCTGGGATTAAAAGTGTGTGCCACCACTGCCTGGCTTTCTTTTTTTTTCCATACTTAATAATTAACACAGTATTGTTGTTGACTGTTGTCATTACCTTAAATTTTTAAGCCAGATTTTTTAAGTAATTGATATTATTGTTTCTCTCATTACAAAAAAAAATAGATTCAGGCATGGCAGCAAATGTTTTAATCCAGTACTTAGGAGGGGAAGGCAGAATAACCATTATTTCAAGGCCAGCCTGGGTTACAGAAGACCCATGTCAGAGAACAGAAAGAAGGAAGGAAAAACTAGATGCAAGCTATCATTTCATAATGATTTGCAGTATCTTACACCTATCTCTTAATGCTCCCCCTCAACTCCTTCTCCTATTTGCTCTTATACACACTTGCTTCTTGACAGTTGCCTTATCAACTAAGACGAAGTTTTTTGTTGTTGTTCATGATATGAGAAGTTTAGATGTACTGGGCTACCATATAGCTTTTTCCAAAATAGCAGTTATACCCCTTGCAAAAGAGAGGAGGGGCTTATTAAATGCTATGTAAATATCTTTTGTCACATAAAGCATGTCTCAATAAATTAAAAAATTATCATGGAGTATTTTCTGTGATCACAATGTATTGAAATTAATAATAAAGAACTTCTATAACTTAATAACTGGAATGTTTGAAAAGAATTAGACTTGATGTCATACATAACAGTAAAACACTGACACTTTCTTCACAAGACCAGGAACATTTTGTGTATTCAGTCTTAGGACTGTCATTAAACCTGGTGATTATAGCCAGTGTGATAAGATCAGAAAAAGACATAGAAGGTATTCAGGTTAGAAAGAAAGATAAAAATACTGGAGGTTTTGTTGTTTGCTTTCTTGTTTATTATTAGTAAATTGATGATCTCTGTAGAAAATCCAGTGATTTGTATAGTACTAAGCTAATCAGGGAGTGAGCAAGCTTGCAGAATGCAGCACCAGTTTACAAAGAATCAAGTGTATGCCTGCACATCAAGTACAGTTAAAAGTCAAAACTTTACCAATGATGCCACAGAAATAAGAAATTCAGTAGTAATAGTCCTGGAAAAGAGCTGAAGATTTTTACATTGGAAATTACAGAATATTGCTGAAATAAACTACAGATCACTTAAGTGAGAGCCAATTGAATTATGGATAGGTTTATTATGTAAGTAAGCTCAGTGCTTTTAGGAAACTATTTTTTTAATTTTAGTATAGCATAATCCATCTAAAATAATCTCAGTCAGGTTATGGTATGAGATGTGCAAGCATGTGTGTGTGTGTGTGTGTGTGTGTGTGTGTGTGTGTGTGTGTGTAAATTGGTAAGCTAGCTTTAAAATGCATGGAAATGCAAAAAACTTAAAATAGTACATCTTTGAAACAAATTAAAGGTTAAAATATTACTAATACACGGTATAAAAAAGCTGCAGTAGAGTCAAGATAGGCAGACACTTCAAAGGAGCAGAATAGAATCTAAAAATATGCAATGATATATATGCAACTAATTTTCAATATAGGCATAAAGCATGCTAGTAGAGGAAGAATAATGTTTTCAACAATTCAACAGTTGGATTCTCTATACAAAAAGAAAGCACAAGCCTTTATTTATATTTTATACCAGGTATTTCTAGACATAACATGGACCTAAGTTAAACCTAAAACAAAATTTTAGAAGGAAATAAAGGAGACAGTTTTAGCAACTTTGGATGACTCAAAGACTTTTTAGAAATGACATCAAAAGCACTTCATCAAAGTTAAAAACAAATCTTCAAAAGACCTTGTTAAGAAGAATGAAGAATATTAAACTGGTAGAAAATATTTATAAAACATGTCTAGTAAAAGGCATACTTTACTAAGAACATATAGAGAACTCCAGTAGTTAGCAAGGAGAAAATGACCTGAGTGTCATCAAAGCTAAGTGGAGAATGGGAGTATGGCAAGGTGTTCCACTCCAGTGTCCTGTCAAGACATGCAAATTAAAACCAGAGAAATACTAACAGTAACCATAACCAAAATTCAGAGATTGACCATGCCTGTGATTGGAGGACCAGAATCCCATCTCATATGCTGCTAGTGGAGTAAATTATATAACCTTTTAATAGGATATATATATCCCAGCATATAGTTGGGGAATTTCCTAAACAGTTAAATGTATGTCTGCCACATGACTGGCTATTATATTCCTAGATACTTATCTAAAATAATGCAAGTATACGTCCACAAAGAAGTCTTCTAAATAAGTGTTCATAGCAACTTTATTTGTAGTAGCCTAAAGTTGGAAACAGCCTGCTTCTGTCAGTAGGTAAGTGGATAAACAACTGTACTATATATCTTCTCAGCCTGAAAAATACTTTGTTGATACATGCCATACATAGGTTAAAAAAAAAAAGAGAGAGAGAAGGTACTTTTTTTTTTTTTTAAGTATATACTATCTGATCTATTTACTTACTATTTTGGAAAATGTAAACCAGTAAACAATGACAAAAAGCATAGCATTTGTTGCCAATCAAGCTGGAAGTGGGGCAGGGAGGCTTGGGCAGGAAGGAAAGACAACAAAGGGGCATAAGGAAACTCATAGGAGTAGTGACTGTGTTAGGGTATTTTTTTTTTTTTTTTTTTTGAGACAAGGTTTCCTATAGCCCAGACTAACCTCAAACTCACTACATAGCTAAGATGACCTTGAACACCTGGTGCCTCTGCCTGAAGTACTGGGAATATAGACATGTACCACCATGCTTTGCTCCATATATTGTCTTGATCATCTTCATTATGGTTGTGATTTCATAAATATCTCTATATATTAGATCTTATAATATCTTATCAAGTAAAATAATTTAGTGTGTTTAATTCATTATATGCCAGTGTATTCAATAAAACAGTATTTAAAAAAATAGATACATCACAGTCAAACTGATTAAAAGATAAAGAAAAAACCATAAAAACATCATAACAAATTGTGTACATTAAGTGTATGTAGTTTATTATACTATTTATAGCAGAACAATAATTTAAAATGGAAAAAATTAATTTAAAAAACTAAAGCATTTAAAAGTGTGCTTGGAGGAGACAATCCTGCAGAAAACACAGAAGCGGTTATCTGGCGAGGAAGGAAGGTATGTGATGAGAGAGAGAAGGGCTTCAGGGTGGGATGGTATCTAAAGACTAGGATAGATACCATATATGTTCACTTTACCAGCTATTTCTAACATTCCAAATATATGGCGTACATTCTTTTATGAATAGAGTGTATTGTGCAATTTCTGTAGCTTTTAAGAGAAGATAAATTACCATTTGCTAGATGCTTTCATTCAGAAACTGACAATACAGATACCTCCTGTGACAAGTAAAGGGGGTTTTGATGCTTATGGGGGGATTAAAGGTGTGACCTCTCACCCTTCACTACTTTAGAAAGCTGTGAGTCTTTCTATCTGTCCTTCATCCTTTTATATTTAAAATCTAAGGAATTTTTTATTTGCTTTAGAGAAAGTAATTTAAGGTCAGTTATAGATACAAAATAATTTTTTTGCCCTTCCTGAGTGAGGTAACCCAGACCCAGAAAGATGAACATGGTATATACTCACTCATACTAGCTGTAAAGCAAAGGATAACGAGCCTATGGTTCATGATCCTAGAGAAGCTAAGTAACAAGGTGAACCCTAAGAAAACATACATAGACCCACCTGGAAAGGGGAAATAGACAAGATTGCCTGATAAAAATTGGGAGCATGAGTGTGGGGGAAGAAGTGAGGGTGGAAGGGTAAGGGGGAGAACTTGAGGGAAATGGGATATTCGAGATGGAGGAAGGACAGAGATGAGAGCAAGGAAAGATATTTTGATTGAGGGAGCCATTATGGGGCTAGCAAGAAACGTGGCACTAGAAAAATTCCCTAGGAATCCACAAGGATGACCCCAGCTAAGACCCTAAGCAACAGAGGAGAGGGTTCCCAAACTGGCCTTGTCCTGTAGTGAGACTGATGAATATCTTAAGTATCACAATAAAACCTTCATCCAGCAATTAATGGAAACAGGGGCAGAGACCCATAGCAGAGCTCTGGGCTGAGCTCCCAAAGTCTAGTTGAAGAGTGGGAGGAGTGAGAATATTAGCCAAGAGGTCAATACCATAATGGGGACACAGCTTACCTGAGCTAATGGGAGCTCACCAAATCCAGCTGGACAGGGAAGGAACCAGCATAGGTCCAAACTAGTCCCTCTGAATGTGAATAAAATCAAATTATAATAAAGATATAATTATAAGTCCATTGCACTGAAGGTTTTAATATGCCCAATCTCTTAATAACTAGTATAGCTTAAAATGTTGCATTTAAGGGGCTAGAGATGGCCCAGAGGTTAGGGTGCTTAGTATTCTTGCTGAGGACCCAAGTTTGGCTTCCAGGAAACTACATAGGAAACTCAAAACTCCAGTTTCAGGTGGATCTGATGTCATATGGCCTCTGTGGGTGCCTACACATACATGATGCACATAAACTCACACAGACATGCATATATATAAATAAAAGAATAGGTAAATGTTTAAAATTTCTCACTTAAGTTTTTCTCAGTATAAGAGCATAACATATTATCAAAAAGTAAGTATTCTTGTTTTTTGCCATTGACTTTCATCATTCATAGTACCAAAAAGTAAACTCTAATTGAGTAATTCTAACTTAAGAAATGTAGAGATAAATTTTATAAAAACTAGGGGGCTGGAGAGATGGCTCAGTGGTTAAGAGCATTGCCTGCTCTTCCAAAGGTCCTGAGTTCAATTCCCAGCAACCCACATGGTGGCTCACAACCATCTGTAATGAGGTCTGGTGCCCTCTTCTGGCCTGCAAGCATACACACAGAAAGAATATTGTATACATAATAAATAACAAACATTTAAAAAAAATTTTTTATAAAAACTAAATTGCATTCTAAATCACTCAAAACGTACTTCTGTGTGTTCATCTGAAGTCTAAAATTACCATCTTATTTTGACTCCTATTTCTGTCTCTTTCTCTTTTCTCTGTCTCTCTCTTCCCTTTTCCCTTCCACCACCCCGTGTGTGTGCGTGCACGTGCGTGCGTGCATGTGTGTGCTTGTGCATGTGTGTATGTTCCTCAGTCATTTTCCAGCTTGTTTTTGGAGACAGTCTCTCACTGAACCCGGAGCTCACCAGTTTATCTCAGCTCATTGCCTGCAAGCTGCAGGCATCTGTCTTTGCCCACCTGGCATGGAGATTACAAACATGTTCTGTCCCCAGCTTTTTATGTGGTTGCTGGGATCTGACCTCATACCAACACAAGTACTTTACTGTATGAGTATCTCCCCAGCCCTACAATACAGATTTCTGTAAAATAACTCAATAGTGTCCCTATTCTACTTATAGAATGATGGGGTGTAAATGATCCTCTGCTTCGAAGTTATAAAAGTTAAAATAATAAAATTACTTTCACTGTAGAACTTTTGGGGTCATACTACTAAGTTACTATACTATAGCATGCATTACATGTGTGTTTGATATCTTTTACTCAAAATTCTGTTTTATGTTCACAGCCTGCGCCAGCATGGACTACTTTTAGAGTTGGCCTATTTTGTGGAATATTCCTTGTGTTAAATATTACCCTCGTGCTTGCAGGTAATTCTTAACTTTTTAACCATTTGGTCTTATTATGTTTATGTCCTATTCTGCCCTTTTATAAAGAATCAAGCATATATCTACCAATTCTACTGAAAGAAGTGCAAGGTTTTAGAAAGCTGTTTGTAGCCTTTGGGATATAATTTTTTAAAACATTGACCTCTTATTTACTATCATTTTCTAGTCTTCAGGATTTTTAGAGTTCAATTGTCGAGAATTTAAGCTTAGGCCAGTGATATGGTTTAGTGGGTAAAGATGCTTGCTGCCAAATCTGACTACATGAGTTTGATCCCAGGTTTCACATGATGGAAGAAGAAAGTCGACTCCCACAAACTGTCCCTGACCTCCTCATGTATGACATGGTACACACACACACACACACACACACACACACACACACACACACACACAAACACATACTAAGTAAAAAGTGTAATTAATTTAAGAACTTGTTTCCTTGGTCATAGATGAAGATAAATATGTTACAAAGTTCATCCAATAAACCTTATTTACTTCTTATAGAGACCCCGCCCCCTCATGTTTTTCCAAAGCTGCTTATAACTGTTCTGCGTGCTTGGCTTTGTAGTTTTCAATTCAGTGAAATTTCAAAGTAAGGAATAGAATGTATGTTTAGCATGGATGAAGTCCTGTGTTCAGTCCCCAGCACTACATAAAACTAAGTATAGTAACACATACTGATAATCCCAGCATTTGGGAAGGAGAAGCACAAAGATCAGGAATTCCAGGATTTCCTCAGCTACATAATGTGTAGATAGGCTTCCTAAGCTCACCCAAGAATTTATAGAGCCCTTCAGTAGCATTTCACATTATCCCTGCTTGAAAAGCTTCAAATGCCACACCTGTTATTTTCCCCATTATTTCTTTCCCAAACCATGCTATTCTTTGTGGCACTGAAATGTTAGGTAGTCCCAATATATTCAATTCTCACATATCTGCTATCTATGTTCATTTCCTATCTAGGCAAATTATTCAAGCCTATGGCTACAAATACTATCTATATGCTAATGGCTCACAAGTATATATCCTCTCTCCTCTGAAAAAAAGATCTAATGGCTGTTTGGAGATCTAATACTCATTTCCCATTTAAGTAGACAAAAGGACCCTTGATTTTTTTAAGTCCCCCAAATAGAGCCGAGACCTTTTAGTTCCTATTTACTCTGTCTTGGCTGAAATTATCAACTTAAAAAGAAGAAAGATTTATTTTGGCTTATGTAAAGATATTAGTTCTTGATCACTTGGCCCTGTCAGTTCAGGCCTGTGGCAAGGCAGAATATTATGGTGGAGACTGCATTGGAGTGCAAAATTTCTCACTGAATGGAAGCCAGAAAGTGTACACTGGAGAGGGAGGATGTTCTAGTACAGGCTTCAAGGGTCCTTCCCAGTGACTTTCTTCCTCCAGCGGGACCTGACCTCTTCAAGTTTCTCCCTCCCAGTAACAGCAGGAGCTGGGAACCCACACACAGGACACATTACCAAGATATGTGAGCTTTGGCCAACATTTAAGGCCCAAACAACATCCCTCATGTTTAATCACTAATTCATATAAGAAATCCTATTGCTTTGTCTTCATACTATGTTTGAATTTGATCACTTTCACTACACCCATTAGTACTGTCCTTGTCTCAAGAGCCATTTCCTGTTAATGTACAATAGTCTTCTGGGCTTGTCTCTTTGTTTGCATCCAGTGTTGCCCTCTTCTGACCACAAGTTTGTTGAGGGTGGTTTCTCCTTTCCTCACCCCCTCTTTCCTCAGCCCATGTCCCCATGTAAAATCTATTTATGAATTCTCTTACATTCAGATTCCTTACCATAGTACATAAGACCTTCGAGAATATTGCAGTTATCATTTCTTACTTCCTATCCTTTCTTTCTTCCTGTGCTCATTTTCATTTACTATTCTTTAAACACATCTGTTGTCTAAGGGATTCTTTCCCATCAAGGGTGTCTGTTTGCATTTCCTTTCCCTTCAGTTAAACATCTATTCAAATGCTGTCTCTTCGGTGATACCTTCCGTGGTCACCCTACACTAAAACGGTTTATTCTGTATCTTTCTGCTCCTTTAGCCTACATTAATTTTCTTCAGAATGTTTGTCTGACAGGTATCATATATTTATGTCTCTGCTTTCCCACTAACATGTAAACAATGTTTGGACTTGATAACAAACTTCCCAATGCCTGGGCTTTCATCTCTAGTACTGAAACACTACGTGGAGCATAAGAAGAATTCCAAAAAATTTTGAGAAAATTTGAATGGATGGAAGAGATAAAGAGTTGAAATTAAATGATGTGCAGAACTCACTATGCCTTGCTTGCATTCTCTTCAGCACTGCCTGTTGCATTATAAGGTTATAACCCAAATTGTAAAGGCTTTTACATGAACTTTGCCTATTGACAGTATGTTTTCATTGTATTATTAGAGTTCTTTGGCTAGAGAGATGATTCTGCCATTAAAGGCTAGGCTCACACAACACCAAGAGTTCTCCTTTCCACCAGTTGCTAAGTATTATGCATTCATAGCTTACAATGTGACATTGATGAGATTTATGATCAATTTGTTACCTGCTTGTTTATATAGGGTAATTATAGTCTACTTATATAAAATATATGGAAATTCTGCAGTACAAACCCCAACCTAGAATATCAAACTAGCTGCCATGAAGAGAACGGAAGTCCTGCCTGAGTTTCAGTTTCAGTCCCCCATTCATTGTTAGTGGTTATGGTTGTGTGGACAACCCTTAGCTTTTTCTAAAACGGTTTTCTCATCTATTAAATAAACTCAATACCTTACAGGATTACTTGAGAATTTATTTGTTCATCCACAAGTAGCTTTGACATCTGGGGTTTGTGTGTGTTGCATGAATGTGGATTCAAGCACAGTCACATACCACTACACGTGTGGGAAGTCAGAAGACAACATCCACTATCATTCCATCTTGTTTTGAGGAAGAATTGCTTTACCTCTGGTATGCCAGACTGGCTGGCCCACAAGATTCTCCTGTCATCTTGTTGCTGGAGCATTGGGATTATAGATTAATGTTATAAAATCATGCTTTTTATGTGGGTTGCTAGGATCCAAAGTCAGACCCTCACACTGGCCACATAGGCACTCTACTCACCAAGCCATCTCCCCAGCCCATCCACAAGTCACTTTTATGTATCTCCCAACTATTCCTGATCCCCACGAGTCTTAAGATATAAAAAGTTGTGGGGGGCAGAGGGATTGAGTTGTGTAGCTCAGTAGCAGCAAGCTTGCCTATCATAAATGAACTCCTGGGTTAGAGCCCCAGTACTGCAAAACCAGATGAAATCAATCTCTTAGATAGGCGTGTAGCATACTTGTAGCCAGCATTTAGCAGTGGGACTGGGAGAACCAGGTTGTCAGTGTTCAACATCCCGAGCTACCTGTAACCCTGCCTCAAAAGTGTGAAAGGTGATAAACTTCTGAACAGTACAGTGAGACAACTGAGTATTTTCTTAATTAGACTATTGGGGAAGACACTGTGAAAGAAGTGACATTTAAGTTAGTGGGATTAAAAGCATTACCAGAGAAGGAAAGAGAGTAACTTGGTTGGTCAGGTGGAGGAGGAGGGAGGGAGTTCCTAGAGGGGCCGGTTAGTAGAACAGGGTGAAGCCCAGCTTTGAGAGCAGTGCACATGTGGTGAAGCACATCAATCCCAAGTATAGACTGCACACGTGGCTCTCTCTTTAGGGAAATATTGTTACTCACTTATGAGTGGATTTACTTGTCTAATTTCCAAGATGTATGTGGTGATTTTATCCTCCCTAGCTTAAGACAAGGGAAGAAGCAAATGTCTTTCTCTTCATGTGAATTAAATGGAAAGGGTTTTGTTTGTATGTTTTATTTCTTAATTTATATCAAGCTGAGGTTTTAATAAATATAGACTGTATTACTGTGATAGTTTGACCTTTGAAATGCATGCAGTTTATACATTTAGCATTGTGTATTATGTTCTAACCTCAGAACCCTTCTTTGTTTGATCTTCCTGTGTACTGATGAGGGGGAGGGTAACTAGGGATAAAGCCAGCTGTCTATCCTTATTTATCTCCCCCCGGGTACTCAGATGATAACAGTGTTGAGAGTCAGAGGGGATTGCAGCAGTAGTAATGCATGTACAAGCACGATTCTTTTCTTAGAGCATTCACATAAAAATTATGTGCATAATTGCTGTGCTTTCTCATGGGGACTTGACCCAGTGTTCAATAATTTGCCAGAAAAAAATCACACATATAGAGTTTTAGTTTCATAAAAATGAAATTTTTGCTGTATAGGTTTTTAAAATTTTCTTCTAGAAACCTTGGCTGTATTTTAAATAATCACAGTATGCCATATTTCACTTACTCGTTTACCATTTACAGTAATATAATGCTGTAAACTAAGCACTTGTAATTAATAAGACTATTGATGGTTGAAATATCTTTTGAAAATAATGTGGTAGTATATGTAAAAATTTGATAATGATTTTAACTAACTTTAGTTTTTTTATAAATTTAGCTTACAACCTAGGCTCCTACAAGGTAAAGAAATTATTTATTGTCATGTTGCTTATAACAGCAACATCTTAGAAACTGCTCATATAGCTACTGATTGTGAACTGTACAAATGAGTTGTGTTGCCATATACAATGGCATATCATGGTTGATTGAGCTGGATATGAAAGGGAGGCACTTTGGAGAATGACTTGGCACTGTTTACCAAAACTGACTGTATATTAGCCTATGATCCATCTCTAATAATAGAAATGAGTGCATATATCTACCAGGAAACATTCAAGAACATTAGTAACTGTACTGTGTTAATGCCCCCAAACTGGAACAGACCAAATGTTCACCAACAGTATAGCAGATGTCTTTACCCAATGGGATAGTATGTAGCCGTGAGAAGATTGAAATGTAGCCCATGCAAAAACATAAGTGAATCTCACAAGCAAATGGAAATGAGGTTTTTATAACATAAAATTAACCATTGTAAAGTAAACAAAAGAAGCCAGACACCAAAAGTACATGTTATATTATTTAATTTTGAGGAAGATAAAAAAAAATTAGTGTTAGAAAAGAATGCTTATCATGGCTGGAAAGAAGATGTAAAGCCAGGCCTTTGGGCACGCTTTTGTATTCTGGGTCCTGATTCACTGTTGTTGAAATTTATCATACTGTGTACTTAAGATTTGTTTTATCTTCTATAGTGTGTAACACCTACATTAGAAAATAAGTTAGATTTTTGTGTGTATTTATGAGAAAAATAACCACTCTAGAATGTAAATAAAAAAATAAGCTTTAGGATTACCATGTATGGCATGCTGCTAATTGTAGTTGGTTAGTTGCTTTGTTTTGAAAGTTGTTTGGTATTTTTCAGTATGTGAAGAATTTCTTGGAAGGTAATAGAAAAACTGTTAACATGGTAGCCTCTAGGGAAGGAGGTAGGGATTTGAATGTAGGAAGCTTCTTACATCCTTTATATTTAGAACCTTTTCTCTTATACATATTCCTTACTCCTAAATATTTTTAGCAAAGGGAAAACTGGTTTGGTCATTCAAAACCCCAGCGTGGAATGGGGAAAGGTCATGAAACCCCACCTGTGGCTGAGGATCCATTGGCAGTTGATGGCTCCTGGTGGACTGGGTGTATTTTCTTCAGGGATGTATTCCCAGAGAGGCTACCCATGCTCCAGTAGTGTCTTTCACCCATGTCCATAAAGGCAGCGCTAAGTAGTCTTAGTGTTTTGATCACAATTTACATGTGTAAAATTCTTAATAAAAAGAATAACAAATAAATCACAACAAAAGGGAAACCTATTTGGCAACTTGATTCAGTACCATGAGGACTATAATTTTGTAAGGTTTCGAATGGGCTTCTGTTTGAGTTACTGATTTTGTTTTGTTTTAACAGATGCATGGTAGTTTCTATATAACGTAGCTACATTGTTAAGTGCATCAGGCTCTAGAGCCAGATTACTGGAATTAAATCCCTGTGTCCTTAAATAGGAGGCTTAATTTAACTGTTTCTTCAATGTGTAGAAAACTGATATGTGGGTTTTTTTGCTGTGAAAAATTAATGAAATTATGCATATCAAGCACTAAAACATTGATTGACTTCTATTTTTCTGAAAATAAAGTGACCATTGGAATTTTGACAGGGATTTGATTAAATGTATCGATTAACTTGTCATCTTAACAATATCAAATCTTCCAATCTATAAGCATGGCATTTTTTCTATATACTTAAGTCTACTTTAATTTCTATATATTTTGTCACTTTCAACATATGAGCCTCTCATCTCCTTGTTTAAAATTACTACTAAATATTTTATTCTTTTGGGTACTGTTATAATTAAAAATTGGTTTTGTAATTTTATTTTCAGATTGTTTATTGCTTATGCATAGACACAACTGAATTTTGTGTGTTGATATTGCATTCATGACCTTGTATTCTACAGCTTTGCCCAAACTGCTAATTCTTACAGTTGTGGCTTCTTTGGAATCTATGCTTTGTTTTCTGTCATTGTAATGTCTGGGGTCTTTGCTTAGGATTCAGGATGCAAAGCTACAAATGTGCTTTTCTACTCCTCTAAGTTTCCAGCTAATCTTGACTCTGTGGTTCATTGTCACATAGCAACTAGGACAGTCTTTTAAAGTGATTACTTGGGTCTTAACCCATTCAAAACCTTCTATTAGTTCATACATCAGAAATAAAACTTAAATCTAAACAAAGTACTACAAAACCTTGTCTTGTCGCTGGGAACTTTATCTCTAGTTCCTTCCCATAATAGTGACCTTGGCCTTCTATCACTAAGCTTCTTGTACTTTCTCTCTACCTGGAGTCCTCTAGAGATTCCAGGGGTTCAGTCTTCATTCTTTAAGGCAAGTATATCTCCCGAGAGTCTTTATCTGCTGATTTTACTCTTATCTCCCTTACCATATACTGTTAGATAGAAGTTAAATGGAAATTGGTATCTTGTTTATTATTCACTTGAAACCCCAGTTCTTAGGATGATGTTGGGTATAAAAAACATCTAATAAGTACTTGTTGTATAAATGTTTTATTTAGCAACTAATAGAAACTAATGTAACTAATATAATGAATACTGATAGAGTCAAACATTAGGCATTTGATGTGTTCTTCACATTTAACTGTCACAAGCACGTGAAAGTATGTTGTTTGTTTTTGTTTTTTGGTTTGTTTTTTAAATAGGTCTCATGTAGTCCAGGCTGCTAAGTTCTATGTACTTCTGATCCCTCTTCCTCCACCTCTCAAGGCCTGGGATAACAGGCATGTATAATTCCAGTTTTATGCAGTACTGGAGATCAAGTCCAGTCTGAGAACAGACAATATTTTCATTGACCAAGAGGAAACTGAGGACTAGAAACGCTTAAGTTAAATAATTTATTCTACTAGGATTTGATATGCAGTTTATATAATATTTGATTCCAAAACAAACACTTTTTCTCCCATTATTTTTAAGTTATTAAATGTTTTTATACTGTAGAGACTATAAAGATAAATAATAAATCATTATTTAAATTAAGTAAGTATATAAATTTGTAGAGATGTAATAAAAGAACACTATAGATTATGGGAAAAATAACTTTTTTAAAAGATGAAATTTATTGGGGTTGGCCATTGGGGAGTACTGTAGGAGGAATTTGGAAAAAGTAAGTTGGAAACTAGATTTTTTTTTTTAAGAGCTTAAGTTTGCAGACCTAAGGTGTTTTAACAATATAATTCTAGGAAAGCTGTAAAATAATGAGGGTACTGAATGTTTTTATGAGCAATATAGTAATTGAGAACATGGGCTTTGCACAAAATGATGTAAGTTGCGACCAGGTATGGTGGTGATGCTATTAATCCCCACAGAGGCAGGTAGTCGAGGCTAGGTCAGTCAAAGGCTACATTTAACTCTGTTCTATACTAGCTCAGTAAACCTGAGCAAATTACTTAACCTGTCTGTGTTCCAGTTTCCTCAGACAACATGGACATAGTAATTTTTAACTTAGAGAACAATTATAATGAATTAAACTAATTGTTACATGTAATAGCACCAGAAATAAGCCTAAACACTATATTAAACACTCAATATGTGTCAACTATTGTCTATTTATATGACATTTAAATTCTCACATTGTCTTCTAGGGCTTTGTATCTTTTCATTCTTTAATAACTCTGTGAGGTAGAAGTTACTATATCCAGTTTAATGTTAGAGAAAGCAATGTTGAAGAGGGAGGTATCGTAGGAAAAACCCCAGAAGACAAAACTAGTCTTAGACCTGGCTGGCTTGATGTTGTATGCCTTTAATGCCAGCACAGAGGACGTAGAAGCAAGAGTTCAAGACCAGCCTGGTCTACATAGCATACTCCAGTATAGATAGCCAAGACTATATGTCTCAAAACGAACAAACAAACAAACAAAAAACTGGTCTTACCATTTCAAAGCCATTTAGCCCTGTAGTACTAAAGCTTAAAATCAAAACAAGATAAAACACTTATAGGACAATGGAATAACATATTAAAAACCAAGTTTGGAGAAAATTATTCTAATGGCATTCTGCAGAGTCTCTGAGACAGAAGAGGAAAGAATCTAAAGGCAAGTTTATTGGATTCTTAAAATAATCTAGATACAGATTTTCTTTATGAAAACTTCCTGCTAGGGTTGTGTCTGAAAGAATGAAGAAAAAAGATAATAAAGGGAACATTGTAGATTTTACAACTAACTAATACATTTTTTTTCCAGCCGTATTTAAACTTGAAACAGATAGAACTGTATGGCCCTTGATAAGAATCTATCGGGGTGGCTTTCTTCTGATTGAATTCCTCTTTCTACTGGGCATCAACACGTACGGTTGGAGACAGGCTGGAGTAAATCATGTCCTCATCTTTGAACTTAATCCAAGAAACAATTTGTCTCATCAGCATCTCTTTGAGGTAATAAAGCAGAGTCTCATGAATGTAGTTTGCAGTGACTGAATGTAGTTTGCAGTCTTGATGAGTACTCAAGTCCATCTTCCACTTGAAGATTGTTGGATTCTTTATTGTTTTTCTTACTTTTGTTTATTAAAGGTTTTTCTGTATAATGATAAGAAGTAACTTTCTTTCTTTTTGTGTTCCCTGTGCTTTATAGATTGCTGGATTCCTGGGGATATTATGGTGCCTGAGCCTTCTGGCATGCTTTTTCGCTCCAATTAGTATCATCCCTATATATGTGTACCCACTTGCCCTTTATGGATTTATGGTCTTCTTTCTTATCAACCCCACCAAAACTTTCTACTATAAATCCAGATTTTGGCTGCTTAAACTTCTGGTAAGTCTAGAAAGCTTGTGCAACATTTTTAGAGTAGTGTTGTTAGTCATTGGCTCCCTCAAAGGTCACTCATGGCTGCTGAATTGTACAGCCCATATGTGTGGTTCACATTGTGCCACATGAGTGGTGCCCAGCTTTAGGAGCAAAAATATTTTTGACAGATACTGGATAACCTTGAAAGTTTACAGCTACAGCATGCAGCTCTGGAAAAGTGCTTTGTATTTTTTTCCTCCAAGTGACCAGATAGTGAATTGATTTTGCAAATTATGATTATTTATTATTTTGTTATACAGGTTATTTAACCAGTGTGATAGTGTGTAGAACTTAGAACTTTTGGCTTCTTTCTAAAAAAATGAAAGCCAGGCATAGTGGCTTCATGTAATCCCTGTACTTAGGAGATAAAGGCAGAAGTATTAGAAGTCCACAGTCATTCTCAACTACATAACATAACCTGAACCTGTCCTGTTAAAGTTGTTCCTAATTGTCCAGTTGATGTGACTAGTTAGCCAAGCCCTTTATTTTAGGAGCAATTGGTTCTCCACCAAGCTGAATTTGAAGCCAACTTGTATTTTTTGTTTTAGTAACTTCTTTCTTTATATGATTTTGCATTCACTTTTTTGAGGTAGAGTCTACTTTTATAGCCCAAGCTGACTTCAGTGTCATGGTTTTCCTGCCTTAGCCCCAAGTCAGGGTTATAGCAAGTGTGCCACAGTGCTTGGCCTTTGCCCAATTCTTAATGATCTCAAAATCTTTTAACAGTGGAATAGAGAATGTCCTGGAAAATTATAGCTGTGTCATTTTGTGATAGTGTAAAGGTAGTTCTAAGAGGACTGATACACTCTTAAATGAAGCTGGCTTTATTTTTGAAGTCAATTAAGAAAGTTTTCATGTATATATTTCTTAGGTGATGGATTACAGGTGATAATAGAAGGAAGAATAGTGGTTAAAATGAATCACTGTAATTCTTTCCTCACCTTGTTCACCATACCTCTCTGAAAAATATAATTTTTATTTCTTTTGTTTTTTGTTTTTCCATAGGGGATTAGCAAACTTGTTTAAAATTTTAAAACTGAAACATACTACACTTGGTGGCTCATTCATGTAAACCCTGCATTCTGGAGGCTGAGGCAGGAAGATTGCCATGACTTCAAGGCCAGCTTGGTCTACATAGTGAATTTTAGAGTTAGACCCTGTCTGAACTTACACGCACGCACGCACACTGCCTAAAACCTAAAAACCTAAAACACAGCTTTCTTCCCCTATTTGTTTTGTTTTAAATGAAAGTGAATGCTTATAGCAACAAAGAAAATAATATGGCCAAATTTTCATGGCTTTTCCAAAGTTGAATATTATTATGAGAATTTTACCTTCTACCAAGATTTTTATTACAAATTAAAATTCTTCCTTTTTTCCCTCTTAGGAGTGGGGAAGACAACAAAAACTCAGGGCTCAGGATGTCTCAGTTGATAAAGTGTTTGCTAGCTGAGGCTAACCTGAAATTTAATTTGTAGACCAGGCTGGTCTTGAATTTGCAACCTTCCTGCCTCTGGAACATAAATTCTGGGATTACAGATAGACATGTACCAGAACCTAGCATCAGCATGCTTTTAGAGAAGGTGGTTTGGGTTTTAGGGGGAGAAGAAGAAATAGAGCTGCCATTTATCTCTTGAATATATTAAAAAATATTTTCTTAGATTAACTATACATGTAAAATCCCTGTAAAGTATTGGTTTTTTTAAATATTTGTTTATTTTTTATCTCTCATATGTGGGTGCCTTTATATGTGTATGTGTGGTTTGTGCTCATAGAAACTAGAAGGTGGCATTGGATCCTTGGAACATATAGATGGTTATGAGCTGCCATATGGGTGCTGGAAACTGAACCCAAGTCCTTCAAAAGAGCAGCAAGTACTGTTAGCCACTGAGTCACCTCTTCAGTTTATCTATAAAATTATTTCTAAATGAGGTTTTTTTGGAAGATTCAGGAAGCTTATTATAATAATCTCAGTGCAATAACAGGATGATGTAGTTGTGTATGTTGTGTGCTAAGTGCACAATTCCCCAGTGCATCCTTTACTTAAGTAGAAAGCCACAATTTCATGCATGGCTACTTACTCTGATTAGTAGAATGATCCCTGTTGAGTAGATGTTTATGTATGTGTCTGCAGTGTGTGTTAATAATGCAGATTGGTTGATTGAATAGGCTAGCAATGATGTATAAAAAGGAATCATAGACTAGTAAGGAGCACTCTTAGAAGCAATGAAATGTAGAAAGAAACACTGATTTGTTGCTTTTGTCTTATTGTTACCAAAACAAATAATATTACTGTGTATAGGTCATTTAAATTCAGTTGACATATTTATTTTATTCAAACTTCACTGATCCGATTAGTCCCTATAATGTCTGACAGAAAATTAATAGAATGTTTTCATTTTGCTATATTTCTTTGAAATTGTTTTTTAAAGATTTATCCAAAATAAAATGCTTATTTCTCTCTCTTTTTTTTTTAACCTCCAATTTTTAGTGTGGAAAACACATGTCATGTGATCATAATAATAAAGTACTTTTATGTTCATAGTTATATGGGAATATGTATTATATTCATAGTTATATGGGAATCTTTGAAATTGGCAAATGCTACCGTCCCTTAAAAAAAAGCTTAAGAACTTTAAGATACAAACTTACCGCAATATTAATATGTCTAGTCTAGTACAGTCTATTTATATCCATTAGTCTCTTTCCTACATCTGTATTTGCCCCAACTAGAATTTCAATTAGAAAATATAAACAAAGCCCCAGATTTCCAATAGTAACATTACCTTATTCTTCCAGTAAGCTAGCTCAAGATTTAAAATAGAATTGGGCAGTGGCATGCATGCCTTTAATCACAGCACTCAGGAAGCAGAGGCAGGTGGCTCTCTGTGAGTTCAAGGCCAACATGGACTACAGAGTGAGTTCTAGGACAGCCAGAGCTACACAGAGAGACCCTGTCTCCAAAAAAAAAAAAAAAAAAAAAAGTTTTAAAATAAGAGTCCTTAATTATATTATTTAGAGATCAGTTTCTAACCAATATTTTCTTTAGTTCTATAGTAAAATCATGTGTACACTCACATGAACTTGGGGGTCGAGGAGATGACTCAGTGGTTAAAAGCACAGGTTGCCCTTTCAGAGGACCCATTTTTTAGTACCAGCATTTATATGACAGCTCACAACTGCCTGTCACTCCAGTTCTAAGGGATCTGATTTCATCTTCTGCCCTCCAAGAGCATCAAGCACACGCATGGTGCACAGACATACATGCAGTCAAAACATCCATATGCATAAAATAATTTTTGAAGTAGAACTGCAAGCTCATATAGTATATATTTACCTTCAGCTATCATAGATTCTACATATAGACTTAGGTCCCATGCCCAAGATAACTCATAAAGTATTTGCAAATATTCTAGGAACTAAAATGCTGAGCCCTAGGCTAGTAACTTACCAATAACCCACCAGTGATATTTTTTGTGCATTTGTCTAAACATTCAGAATTAATTCTCAATTTCATAATGCTATTACTCTGGGAATCTATCATTTTAATCAAAGTCAGAGTAGAGGTAGAGTATTTGGAAGGCTTTGGCTAAGTAGAGAAAAAGAAGAGTTACATGGTACTCATTCAAGAAGAGGATTCAGATAAATCTGGAATGAGGTTGACTGTGTATAAATGTCAGTTAAGTATGACCTGTCCGTCCTCTTGACTTGCCTGTGACAGAAGTGCTTGTTCCCTTGTTTTCTAGGGTGTCCTTTTTAATGTGTCTCTATGATACATTTGCCACGGGGTGCTATATTGTATCTCTGTGCATTTATTTGCCCAACTAGACTGTGGGTCTTCTAAGCTTTTGGGATCACTTTTTATATCTACACGTCTACATACTTGACATACAGTAAAGACTTAAGTCTTTGTTAAAATTTTTACATCAATGCTTTTCTCTTGTAGTTTCGTACCTTTATCCTTTATTTCTTGTTGCATTGCATTTATCTGCTTCTCTTATAGAAACATTCTGGACTATCCAGATTTTGAGGATGAGGCTGGTGATTAAAATAGTAATGGAGGTTTGTCTCATGTCAGAAGGAAACAATTTCCCCTAGTCTGCCAATTTTGCAAAAGTCAACTACTAGAGAACTGTGGCAACTCCTTCAGCCAATAGCCTTTAAGATACCGGCCTACTTTGGGTGTGGTCACATGTATGACTTTCTGATCCTTTGAGGTTATATTGGAAATTATCCTCTTGCATTTGTTTCTTTGAATTATTCAAGTCTATTCACATCCTAGATTATCTCAAAATATTACAGTAGCTCAAAGCAGCGTCTACATACATGGACTGCTAAGACCTCATTCTGCCTCTTCCCTGTAAGGAAGTGTCCTCTCTCTGGAGCTTATGGTGCAATAGCATAACTTGTAACCTGGATTTTTGGACTCAACAAAATATAAGGGAGCTCTCAAGAGAATAAGTCATGGAACCCAAAGATACCAGCTCCAGACAGTAATATCACAAAGCCTGTATTATTATTTTGTGGTCTAGTTCCAGTTACAGTATCTGTTAGATGACTCTCAGGATTGAGTCATACCATTTAGTCCTGTGTCTCTCTGAAGAGAAATGCTAATGGGTTGAATTTGTCTACTAAATGAATATATCCAGAGAGCTAGAAATTTATATTCATTTTCAGAATTGCTACTTGACAGAGTAGTACATCATTATTATCTTACTCTTCTTTATAATAAAATCAAGGGAATCTGACAGGATAAATATAAAAGCTATCTGCGTCCATACTCCTTTGCATGGGGTCATCCAGGCACTCTCCACAACTTTTTATTCCTGGGGATGGCATTAGTGTCTGAGTCTTCTCTTCTCTGTAGTGCCGGTATTTCTCTCTGCAGTTATAATAGGTTGATATAGAGCAAGTCAAGATGAGTTTATGTTTAATGGAATAGCAATAGTACCTAACTTTGGAATCGAGCTGGGCATGGTGGAACACACCTATGATCCTAGCACTTATTGTGTAAAGATGGAAGGATTTCAAGTTAGAGGCCAACCTGGGCTACATAGTGAGGCCTGTCTCAACCTACTCCCCTTAAGAGGAGTTATTATAAAGATTGAGCTGTAGCAGTCTATAAGCCCTAAGAAAATATAGTTTTTTAGTTAGTGTTCAATATATTTGCTTAATAGATTGACCATTTTTCAGGAAGGTGGTAAGAGAGGTGATTTTGTGGTGAAATTCAGGGTTAACAAGCCATTACCATTACGTTAGTGGAATAAATATTACATAGGCTGGGGTTGCAGTTCAGTGATAGAGCGCTTGACTTATGCACAAGACCCTGTGTTTGAAACCCCATGCTGTAACAATGTCATTTAGGTTAGAGAATATGACATGCCTCAGCTGATATAACTACCCTTCCCTACCTGTATTTTACAGGCAAAGAAGAGCTTTGTATTTAGTTAGCAAAGTGCTTCCCTGTCCAGCAAATTTGCTTTGTAACCTAAATATTAGATTTCCTCTCTATATTTCGAGCACTTTTTTTTTTCTTGTCAGGATTTTACTCTGTAGCTCAGGCTGGCCATGAATTTGTGGAAATCCTGCCTTAGCCTTCTAAGTGCTGGTCTTACAGGAATTACCCACTCTGCCTTGTTTATTCTTCTCCTGATCTCTGCTTTTTTACCTGCAGTTCCTACCAGCAGCCCCACACACTCACACAGGCACACTGTTGTTTTTGCAGTCGTGCTTTCAGTGCAATCCCTGCACTGCTGCTTACCCCAGCCTTTGCTGCATGGGCTTTGTGTGTGTGTCTGTGCTTCATCAGCAGTGACTCTGAATGGTCAGACATCAACTGCAGAAATTTAATGTACGGTTTCCTGTTTCTGTTCTCTCTCTCTCTCTCTCTCTCTCTCTCTCTCTCTCTCTCTCTCTCTCTCTCTCTCTCCTTTCTTTTTCTCAGTTTCGAGTATTTACAGCTCCCTTCCATAAGGTAGGCTTTGCTGATTTCTGGCTGGCCGATCAGCTGAACAGCCTGTCAGTGATACTCATGGACCTGGAATATATGATCTGCTTCTACAGTTTTGAGCTCAAATGGGATGAGAGTAAGGGCCTGTTGCCAAATGATCTACAAGGTAGGCTATAATTTTGTATTCACACTGCTGAATTGCCAACATAAACCAAGAAATATTGGGAATGATAACTGTGACAGTTAAGGTCATGGTGAAAACTCATCCAATAACATTACAAATTTAATTAAATGTACTTGGCATTCTGTTAGCAATCTCCTGAACTGAAATAATTTGGATTTTAAATTGTGTTATTTTAGCCATCCACTTGCCAAGAAATTTACAACTTATACTGAAGAACTCTGCAGTTATTTCTCAATGTTACTGTGTGTTGGTAACTGTATCACAAATGCTAGAGTGCCAGCAATTAGTCCTCACAAAAATGCTTGGGATAGCATTGTAGGTACTGTGATCAAAGTACTGATTGCTTAGAATCAGGTCAAATGCCTTGGGAAATGTTGTGGTAGATTGCTTTACAAATCTTATTTGAAACCTTTATTTTTCTTCTGGCTCTTTACCCACACTTAAGGTAATGCCACGTTTGTATAGTTAGGAAGTTTGCATTCATCACAAAGATCTAATGTAGACAGGTCATACATAGAGCATCTACTCACAAAAGAGAATAAAAAATTGGGTGTGACAGCCTACCATGCACTTGCTATCCCCGCACTGAGGAGGCCAAAGCCGTAGGATAGTAAGTCCCTGTTCAGCCTAGGCTGCATAATGATGAAGCCCTGTCTCAGAAGTAAAAGCACAACAAAGCAGCAGTAAAAAATTAATAATGAACCCTATACCTTGTTCTTGATTAAAAGGGAGTCCATAGAACATGTGCTCTGTGTACATATTTTCTAGTACTTGGCATTTATAAAACTGTCTAGGTACCTGTGACTTTTGTTGGTTTTCCATATGTTTAACATCACAGAACAAAACAGTTTTTTTCTTCTTTTGATTCATAGACTCTTTTTCCTATAGTTTTATTATTGCACTTGAAAAAATATTAATTCTAGGATATTAAGAAGTCTAGAGGACAGATTTTTCCAGTAGTTCCTCTGTAATTTTTACCTTTTCTCATTGGCTTATCCACCACTGAAAAGCTTGAGCAAACAGTAAGTAGTTACATAGGAGAGAATGACTGAACCCATGGGGATGACTTGAATTTTATACGCTGATGGGTATTTGGACTGTGCGACTGGATGGTGTGAACAATTCATTCTTTTGAATTGTAATTTTTCCTTCTTCTTCTTTGAAATCTTCACAGAACCAGAATTTTGCCACAGATATACATATGGAGTGCGAGCCATTGTTCAGTGTATTCCTGCTTGGCTTCGCTTCATCCAGTGCCTGCGCCGGTACCGTGACACAAAAAGGGCCTTTCCTCATTTAGTAAATGCTGGCAAATACTCCACCACTTTCTTCACCGTGACCTTTGCAGCCCTGTACAGTACTCACAAAGGTATGCTGAGACTTTCAAATCTGAGTTGTTTCTTCCTGAGTCTGTTACCCTAGACCTTTTTGTGCTCTTGGTTTCCACTGAAGCTCCAGACCCTGATTATCGTGGTTTATCCTTGAATACAGTTTTATTCTCATTTCATTGTATATTAACAAACATCATTAACAAGAATCACAGTCGATCAGATAGGAAGAATTATGTTAATGTTCGAAAGCCTGAATTATGTTCAGTGGATTTAACCTATGAATGCCTTGGATTTTCATTTAGTGTTTTTTTAAAGATCTCCTTGTTCATTAATGAGGTTAGGAAATGGGTAGGTGTACAAGATTCCCTCTGGCAATCAAGTATATTTTTAATCGTTTCCCTTCACCAACTAGTAAGGATTGTTTCCAGCCCATTTAACTGCAAATTGAGTTCTCTGATCCCTCTATTTTCTTGTCTCCATGGCAACCTGCTATTACTTGCTACTGCTCTTCTATTGGGAAGAGAAAAAAAGCTTTTAAGTTCTGAGCCACATGCAGACACTCCTTTTGAATTTTTAACCTTTTCCCAAGAACTGTCAATCAGTTATTTCACTTCCTTTTACTAAAACGCATTACAGTATCAGCCCACGACTTAGCTACTACAATTTCTCAGCCGTAGGTGGCCCAGAAATGTGACTAATGGAAACCAGTAGAGTGATTTTAAATACTCAGGTAAACTGTTTTCAGAAACCATTTTTGTGAGGCTGTATTTGTGAGTCTTAATTCAGTGGGACAAAACTGCTGTTGCACTAGCATGTATCTGCTGGTCCTAAGAGTTAATAGTGTGAGATTGTTGTCCACACTATGATGTAGATTCTGTGCTTAGAATAGCATGTGCCATTCTGGTTAAGTGATAGATTTAATTTAGTACCTTGGTGAAGGAAAAGCTCCCATAATTTTTTTTGCTGAGGAATGCCACTAGTCTATTATTACTAGATAATTTATAAATCTGACAGTTGATCTGATACAAGATGCTTTATGGCTCCTCTTACTAAATTATCGCAAACATTTGCCTCTCATCTTAAGTAAAAATGAGCACCGCTATTTTGGGGTAAATATTTTATACTAACAATACATTCATTAAGAAGCTGACAGTTGCCAGGGCTGCTGGTGCTGTTCACACAAATACACAACACTCACCTCAGGAAATACAGCTCATTCTTGGTCCAGACATAAGTGGTGATAACCTGGGAGCACAGATGCAGGTTGCCCTGAAAGACGTGTTTCACTGGACATAGTTACATGAGAGTTTGCAGTTATAGAACAAAGAAAGCCGTAAGCCAGGGCATTTACTGAGTGCTTTGGCGGTGGCTGCAAGTAGGCAGGCTACAGCAAACCAAGGGAACACTATAGGTCTGGGGTGTTGTCAGCTTTTAGATTGGTAGGAGCTGGTGTTCTGCTGAAATTAAATTTTCGGACTGGTAACTCATTCAGGAAAATGCTCGCTGTACAAAGTTGAAGACATGAGTTTGGTCCCCAGAACCTATGTGAAGGCCGGGCCTGGCAGCAGGCACCTGTAATCTCCACTCTGGGAAGACAGACACGGGAGGATCCCTGTGGCTTGCTCACAGTCATATCATCAAGCTCTGAGCTAAATCAGACACTGTCTCAGAAAACAAGGAGAGAGAAATTGAGGAGAACACTGATACACACAAAGAATACATTTTAAAAATTTTGATAGTCACAGGGATGTTCAGACACAGGAGTAGACAATGAATGGCTTTAAAGGGACTGAAGACAGTCTAAGATAATGTGGCTCAACACTAATAATGTGTCTTCAACACTATCTACAGTCACACACAAAGTTCAGCCATTCAGCCTTGTAGAATCCTTTAACACAGGTATGACTTTTCTTCCCCCCCCCCCCCCCCGGGAACATCAGTTTATACTAAAAACTATATATATAGTTTTTTTGTTTTTTCAATACAAGGTTTCTCAGTAACTTTGAAGCATGTCCTGGAACTTGCTCTTGTAGACCAGGCTGGCCTCAAACTCACAGAGATCCGCCTGTCTCTGCCTCCCAAGTGCTGGCATTAAAGGTGTGTGCTACTACTGAACTATATTTTAATGTGATATAGTTTTACATTGGTGTAAATGTATTTACAGTTGTTGACTTACCTGCTGCATATATATGTAAACTGATACTAAATTATATCCTTTCACTAGAAGGTATTAAGAGAAATTTTTCCACTTTTTTGTAATTATTGAGCTTTGTTGAGCTGTATACTGAGGAATGGTTAAAATGCTAAGTTTTATGGGTTTGGAAACTACATATTTTGAAAGACTTGAAAATAGAGTACTAGTTTGTATAAGCAGGGTACTGGGAAAGCACAGAGCACAAATCTCTAACCCAGCCTGATAGACCACAGATGAAAGATGTTTAGATGACATGTAGCTAAGGATGGACTTCTGATCCCCCCGCTACCTCTGCCACTCAAGTGTTGGGATTCCAGATCTGTGCCACCACGCCTGTCTCTTCATTTTTATTTTGTGATACTAGGATGCTCAGGGTCTTGTGTGTGCCATGCCAGGCAAGTACTGTATCACTGAGCTTATCCCAGCCTTACCTTGCAGTGGAGGGTAGAAGCAATTCTGTTTCCTACTTCTGCTTGCCTTGGCCTCATTTGTCATGGCTGCTTTTGTTTCACAGAAAGCCATATCTTTACCTGTATCTATTTACTTCACAGATTTATTGTAAGAATTGCACATGGAATTATATTATAGACTGGTATACTACAAAAATGGGGTGAATGGGAAAAGAACAGCTCCCTTTGCTGACCAGTGCTGATGAATTTCAGGACAGCTAGGGCTACACAGAAAAACCCTGTCTCAGGAAAAGAGAGAGAGAGAGAGAGAGAGAGAGAGAGAGAGAGAGAGAGAGAGAGAGAGAGAAGGACAAGGTCTCACATAGCTCATGCTGGCTTCAAATTCACTGTGTATCAAGGATGACTGAATTTATGGTCCCCTTGCATCAGCCTCCCTCTTGAGTGCTGGGATTACAGGAATGTACAATACCCAGTTTTATGTTGTGATGGGGCATCAAACTCAGGGCTTCGTGCATGCTAGGCAAGCGCTCTATACACTGTGCTGTATCCCCAGCCTTAAGTTCTTTGATTTTCTTGGGCAGTATTCTAAGAAAACACAGACTTTAGAAATAATTACTGAGTCAAAAGAATCAATTCAAAATGACTAATTATATACTTTTCTATGGAGTGCATGTGCTGTTGCAAAAGCTACATTTATGAGGAAAGAAGAGTAAAAGATCGTGACATAACCTTGTTCAGACTCAGATCTGAGTCTTTTTAAAAAACTAGCCTGCCAGGGTTACCATAGTAACAGCATTATATTAAGTGCACTTTCAAAATTGTTACAGAGGTTGTTTCTTATGTTATGCTGCATGATTTGTAAAAATGGAGGTGTAAGCATTCACCCTGCACCTAGAATCATTTTTTAGAAGGTGAGGGTTTAGGCAGCCCATTTAGGAAGATTAATATTTCAGTTAGGCCTCTTTTGTTGTATAAAAAAAGAAGCACATTTGAATTAATTCAGGGCATTTTATTTTCTGTCATTGAGTTTTAGAGACAAAGGAATTCAGCTAGCAGCCAATCTCTGTGTTTAAAAATTCATATTTCATTACATGACCATATTTGAAACAGCTCCTTACAAGTGTTGTCTTGGAATTGGGATTTAGAGGAGGTGAGGAAATATTTTAAATGGGTTTTGGTTTCCTTGAGGTTTCTGGGCTTTGCAAGAAAAGATCTTTGGGAAGTATAATAGCAGAAAGACTGTGATGTCATTACTTCTAACAAGTTGTATTTCATCTCGTATTGCATTTGTAGCTCCTAAAATTCTGTACTCTCATAAATTCTTAGTGGAGTTAGACCTGTGCTATTCACGTAAATATATGGAGGGGTGCTTTCACTCCACATTCCCTGACTTTTGTGGACAGGGTGGGATTCGCTATAAAGTTTTTGAAAGAGCGTCTCTTGAGTTGATTTACATCCATGTTATTGGTGCCCAGGTCTCATCTGAATCCCCCTGTGCATTCTGAAGGGTGTTATGCCTCCCTGTGAGGTTTCCCCATCAGCAGTTAGTGCCTCCTGTGCAGTGGCCACTTCATTATTTTGAGTGAACACACACAGTCCTGAAATGCTGTTTCTCTGGGGTACAGCTAGTTGCTACTCTCTTGCTACCCTGAATAATAGGCTTCTAGTCCACATTTTAATCGTCTTATATTATAATAGAAAGAGTAATTGTGGGTTTTTTTTTAATTCTTTGGGGAAATTTTTGTTCCATTAGCTTTAAAAGACATACGTTCAATTAAAAAAGAAAACTCATTTGGATAAATGTTCTCATTTTTGCCTTGATATTTAAAGTAGTTCAAAGCATTAACCCTTTTGGAACTTAATATATTCTGTTGTAATTTCCTTATAGAAGGAAAAACTGTTTTACAGTCTATATAGACAAGATTGGCTAAAAGACCTGTTGATATCAGAAAACAAAACAATAAGATACTGATTTCTTCTCGTTAGTAACTTAATGCTCTTTGCCATTTTTGGCTATCGTTGTACTAATTTTCAAGTGATGTAATTGTTTCTATATATAAATTTATATATTTTCTACATGTGATAGATATATATGTATATATATATATTTGAATAAATTAAATCTTTTTACCTTCTTTGTCACTTAAAAGACTTTTAAAAAAATAACACACATTGACACCTTGATATCATTTTGGTTTTCTCATCACATTGGTTTTCTTAATTGTTCTTACAACTCATGAAAACAGCATTTCCTATATGTCGTGTTGCTTTAATAACACTAATATTTGTAATATTTTATTGCTCAGAATTATAGGATTGTTGATGCTAAAAAGAAGCAAAGGAGCCAGTCGGTGGTAGCACACGCCTTTAATCCCAGCACTAGGGAGGCAGACACAGGTGGATCTCTGTGAGTTGAGGCCAGCCTTGTCTACAA